ATTCACTTTCCAATAGAAAATGTATAAAAAAAAAAAATAAAATAAAAAATTAAAAAAATCCTACCGATGACCCCAGGCCAGCCCATCAGCTTCTCTTTAAATAAAAAAAGAAAGAAATTTGTGAAAAAAAAAAAAACTGCCGCAGACCCCCGGTCACCCCATCAGCTTCACTTTGCGAGAAAAAAAAAAAAAAAAAAATTAGAGTTAAAAAGTAGACCCCCGGCCATCCCATAGGCTTCACTTTGCAAGAAAAGTAGTAGAAGAAAAAAAATTGAAAAAGAAAACTACTTGTCACCGCAAAACCCCGGTCATCCCATTGGCTTCACTTTGCGAGAAAGAAAGAAAAAAAAAAAACCGCTGACCCACAGCCAACCCACCAGCCTCACTTTGTAAAAAAAAAAAATAATAATAATTATAAACAGAGTATATCCCCGGCCATCCCATAGGCTTCACTTTGCAAGAAAAGTAGTAGAAGAAACAAAACTGGAAAAAAAAACTACCTGCCACCGCAGACCCCCGGTCATCCCATTGGCTTCACTTTGCGAAAAAACAAAAACTGATAAAATACTATATACATACCTACATATACATATATATATATATATATATATATATATATATATATATATATATATATATATATATATATATATTTGTCTGTGTGTGTGTGTGTTAAAGGATATATCATGCTTCTACCAGAAATATCCCAGAGACCCACCATCCCCCAAGTGAGACTTTGTCATTTCATTGGCTTCACTTGGCAAAAAACAAAAACTGAAAAAATAAATAAAAATACCTCGTCCCCCGGCCACCCCATATATATATATATATATATATATATATATATATATATATATATATATATATATATATATATATATGTGTGTGTAATTACATATATGTGTTTGAGGTAAAGGATCTATCACGTTTCTACCAGAGACCCACCATCCCCCAAGTGAGAGTTGGACAAGTGTGCCCTAACCTTAACCCAACCATACAACCATAAACCCCTAACTCTAAACCTCAACCTAACCCTAAACCCAATTTTAACTCCACCCCTAACCCCAACCCAAACCCTACCCCCAACCCTAAATCCAACTTTACCCCTCAACCTAACTCCAAACCCTACCCCCAACTTTAACCCCACACCTAACCCCAACCCAAACCCTACCCCAACCCTAAACCCAAATTTAACCCCACACCTAACCCCAACCCAAACCCTACCCTAAACCCAAATCTAACCCTAAACCCCAAATCATAACCTCAAACCCTACCAAGCCTAACCCTAATCCTTTAAGAAAAGACCCACCATCCCCCAATTGAGTGTTGGACGACCATAGTCTCTGTGCCTTTTCTCTCTCTCTCTCTCTCTCTCTCTCTCTCTCTCTCTCTCTCTCTCTCTCTTGCAGGGTGAGCTGAATCGGCTTGACTGACAAAAACGAAGGAAAACCACCACCTCTAGCCAGAGAGCAGGAAAGCCATCCCCCAGCGAGAGTAGGACGACTGTGGCATGGTGCAGTGTTCCACCCAGCAGCAAAAGACCCACCATCCCCCAATTGAGTGTTGGACAACCATGGCCTCTGTGCCTCTCTCTCTCTCTCTCTCTCGCTCTCTCTCTCTCTCTCTGTCTCTCCCTCCCTTCCCCTCCTCTCTCTTTCTTGCAGGATGAGCTGAATCGGCTTGACTTTGACAAAAACGAAGGAAACCCACCACTCCTAAACAGAGAACAGGAAAGTCATGCGCCGAGTGAGAGTTGGAGCAGTGGGCCTCGACGAGGCTCGTGCAGTGTTCCAAAGAGCAAGAAAAGACCCACCATCCCCCAAGTGAGTGTTGGAACCACCAGTGACTCTTTGCCTATTCTCTCTTTCTAACCCCCCCTTTCTTACAGGGTGAGCTGAATCGGCTTGACTTTGACAAAAATGGAGGAAACCCACCACCCATAGACAGAGAGCAGGAAACCTATCCCCCAGCGTGAGAGTTGGAGGAGTGGGCCTCGACGAGTCTTGTGCACTGTTCCAAAGAGCAAGATAAGACCCACCATCCCCCAAGTGAGTGTGGATGACCAGTGGCTCGCTTTCTCTTGAGAGTGAGGGGAATCGGCTTGACTCTACAAAAAGAGGACAGACCCACCATCCCCCAAGTGAGTGTTGGAACCACCAGTGACTCTTTGCCTTTTCTCTCTTTCTAAACCCCCCCCCCCCCCCCCTTCTTACAGGGTGAGCTGAATCGGCTTGACTTTGACAAAAATGGAGGAAACCCACCACCCATAGACAGAGAGCAGGAAAGCCATCCCCCAGCGTGAGAGTTGGAGGAGTGGGCCTTGACGAGACTTGTGCAGTGTTCCAAAGAGCAAGATAAGACCCACCATCCCCCAAGTGAGTGTTGGATGACCAGTGGCTCGCTTTCTCTTGAGAGTGAGGGGAATCGGCTTGACTCTACAAAAAGAGGACAGACCCACCATCCCCCAAGTGAGTGTTGGAACCACCAGTGACTCTTTGCC